AATAAACCTCATTCTCAGCACTCATTACTAAACCAGTTTAGTTTCTCTGGTTTATACACTTTCCTGTGATGAATGTTAATGGTTCCTGCCCCTCGCCTGCTTTCTGACAGCATCCAAACCACACGGCAGCTCTCCTGCACTTGTTGGGGTGAACGTGACTGTCGCAGGGGAAGGACATGTTTCTGATAATGTGGAGTGAGTCTGAATCCTGCAGTTAGTATGTGAATGTGATTCAGACATCAGGACTCTGCAGTGACAGTGTTAAGGACAATTGTAGCTGTTGTCTCACACATGAAGAAAACTCCAGAGCCAGAATAAATGTTCTTCTCAGTGTGGAATTCTCCCCTACTTGTTCCTCTGCAGCTCCCACACTGACACTCCTCTCCACACTGAACATGTTCAAACAGGCAGGTTTTTCCTACAGCTGAACAATCTCCTTTCACCAACAGCCTCAGCTGCACTCCCACCCAAAGACACTCAAATCTTTTTCATGGTCCAGTGGAAGAATTCTAACAGCCCAGAATATGAACAAAGCACATTAATTCAAGTCACTGGCCGTGTCAGTCAGCCCCTCCTGTCAAGGTGTATTGATACTGTGGGATACTTGAAAATGCATGTTTTCATTGGAAAGGTACAGGGTCCTCCATCAGTACTGCAATGAGTCAACTTTACAGTCAAGCAATTTGTTCTTGTGATCAGAACAGAAATATTATCCTGGATTTATTCTGTGGTAATTCTCTGCATACATCTGATCATATTGGAATAAAAAATGTTCAACTTTCCATTTTGAAGTTACTGGGACACATTCACTTTAAATACATTTCAGAGTGTAGAACAGTATGTGCTTGTATATCCCTCTGAGATAGTAACTGTATGAGGTCTGAGACCCATTGAGCTCACTGCCCTCTGTAATCATCTGAGATGCTTTGCTATTGCCACCAAGTTCTTATTTAGTCTTCAGGTTATCATACTTCAATTGTTTTTCCTTCTGTCAATAGCATTGAAATCCAGGCATTAGACCCAAGAGGTTAATGTGTTTCATCAGTTATTCTCCTGATGACCTCCTTGGTTGCATTATAAAGTGACTCAAAGCTACAGCACCTGAATATTTGATGCGTGTCCTCTGAGCTGAGATGTAGATGACATGTATGGTCCCTAACTAACACCACCTCTAATCCTACTCCTGTACATGTGATCAGCATCTGAGCTCAGAGGGAGCACAGAGGACATTGAGGTGTTGCTGGAGCTCTCAGCTCTGAGTCCACAGCCTTCAGGTTTGAACTTCAGTGATCCAGTACACTAGTGCTGATGGAGACAGACAGGTGAAGGAGTCTCCTCATGATCTCCCCAGGCCAGGCCATGACTCTCACAGAAGGTGCTGTTCTCTGGAGCATCTGCAGCTCCTTTCTTTCTCCACACTTGAACCTGTCATCTCTGTACTCTGAGCACAAGCTGACGCCTGGTGGAGGTAATGTCATGGCCTGGGGATGCAGGAATGGCTCAGACTGGGTCACTCATCTTTATTGAGGATGTAGCTAATGATGGCAGCAGCAGAGTGATTTCTGAAGTTTACAGAAACGGGGTCTCTGATGCGGTAGAAAAGGCTTCCATACTTATTGGACAGTACTACTGTCATGCAGCATTACAATGACCCAAAGCATCCAGTCAGTGCAACCAAAGAGCTCATCAGGAGAAAACAGAAACTGGTCAAGTGTGTCTACAGATCTCAGTCCAACTCGAAGTCACTGCTTTAGCATGATATAAAGTAAAAGCATCTCAAGAACAGGCGATACCTCATCTTCATTGATGACACCGAGTACAGTGAGCTCATTTACTGGTTTACACTCTGAAATGCAGGTAAAATGAATGTGTCCCAATAAGTCAGACCATATGACATGATGAGGATTAATTCACCACTATTCCTGCTGCCTCCTGATGTTCATCCACGCTCACAGAGCTGCGAGATTGATTTCCAAATTGAGGAGAATCTGATTTACAGGGTGAGTTGGCTTAAATCCCCACACCCTGACATCACACTGACACTCCTTCACTACAGCTGCAGCACTGAAGTAATCAGCATTAATGTGGAAGTCTGACATGTACAATTCATCAAGCATATTCTGTAGTTGTCTAGAACTCATCTTATATACTTGTTTCTGTATCAATACTAATATTCTCAATTATTTAAGATTTAAAACCAGAACACTGAACTTGTTGCTGGGCTTGTCAGCTACACCTCACTGTCTTCTGCAGGAACAGAAAACATTTAAATCCTCCTGAGCAGCATTTTACAGGCTGAAAAAAATCAAAACCTCAAGAATAGACAACTTGTTGGCTGAAGAGAGGAGGATGCTAAGAATATTGAGCTGACTGTGTCCAGACTGCAGGCAGTTATTGTCTCAAAGGCAGCTTCACCCACATGTTTCCCAGTCTTTACTGTCACTTGAAATTACAGCACTGAACTGGCAGTGCTTGAATATGATCAAATGTATGCAATTCCAAAAATCAACAGTATATGTTTTATTGTTTGTTATTCATTGTCTCCTGTTAATGAATAAACATTGCTTGACTGTAAAGTTGTGGCTCATTGCTGGGGTACTGGGTGTAGATCTAGGACTAGTTGTATTTAACAATACAGGGGGTTGACATGATTTGCTGTGGAACTGAGGGGCCTGTGCTCAGGGGCAAACGGAGAACTAATCTAGTTATGGGAAGCACTTGATTAGTAGTAACACCGTGTTCAGTGGAGTATTCTGCACTCGGGTTTTAACTGTATAACAGTCTAGAGCCCATTCAGTGATCTAGTGCTCAGTATCCCGCACTGTGCCGGGTCAGATGTGATGGCCGTACTGTACAGCACACCTCGCTCTGCATGACCCCGGCATATACAGATTCCTTATAGCACCAAGTTATTTTTAAAAAAGTCAAGACGAACCTAGAACGAGTTAAAATATAAAAGCAACGGGGAGAGTAGAGTTTAAAAAGCACAACCCAGCTCGGACAAACAGACCGCGTCTCTTTCGGCGCTGCAGCGCGATGTGAACAAACCTCATCTTGGTCAGCTTCCTGACGGATGTGTAGTGATTTGAACGTTGAAATTAAAACTTCATAGGGTTCCTAAATTTGAATCGAATTTAAAGCAGGTATTTCCCGTGAGAGTAAGGACACGGTCTGGAGGTCATGAGCCCTTTTTATTCTAAACTCATTTTCCCGACATTGGGACGAGCCTGTGTTTCGCAAAGCGAGCTGCGCTGTACTGCCGAGTGATTCCCTGAGCCCCTCCGCCAGCACAGCTCCTCACTCCTGTCTGATGACTGTCGCTGCGGTGCTGCTCAGGGCTGAACTCCGAGCTCTTACCTGCTTGTCTTGTGTTTCAGGTCTCCCCTGGCTGCTGTCCCTGCCGCCCGCACAGGACCCATCCCGCACTGACCAGACTGCCGGCGCTGGACAGGAAATCGTCATCCCGGATACCGTTACTTGTCATTATGTAACTCACTCTGTATTTTTTTTTGTTTCATTGTTGCCAACTTTCTTTTATTTGTATGCTTGCAAAACTTAATAAAGAATTTTGACTTCTGTCTTACTTACTTCTTCTTTTCTTCGTAACATTATTCCTAACAAAAATAAAACCAAACAAAACGGTGAACGAGCACCGCCCATAATTAATATTCATGAGGGGCGTGGTTAATGAGGGGGCGTGTCGCATAATCGAGTAGGGGAGTGTCGCATTATTCATAAGAGGGTGTTGCCAAATGATGACGTCATACTAGCCAATCAAAATGTCTGGATGAGAGCCCACCTCCAAGCCTTTTGCTCTCAGGTGATTGGTCAGTTTGAAGCAAAACTTCAGTTATGGGATATAACCCCATTTTCTCTATTCTGATTGGTTGAAGGGCCTGTCAATCAAATCACCACACCCCTAAAAATGACGCACTTCTTAAGGGTTGTCTTTATATGATTGACATGAGGTTTAACCCAATCCCAGAAGCCCATCTCCAAGACCAGCCCCGGGTGAGATTTGTTTAATACTAATGAACTTTAATTCACTTAATACATAAACAAAGTATTCATTATAATGAATTAGAATAATTTAAAATATTAATTAGTAATTAAAATGTATACAGCAACTCTTTTTGTTTAAAATTCCCTAAGATATTTACATTTTTTAAGTAACACAATCAGAAAGACAGCAACCAAGTTTTTAAAAATACATTCTCCAAAAAAAAAGACAAATAAGCCAGAAGTAAAATGATTTTAAATTTTATTTGTGTTCAGTACAAGTGTAAACATACATTTTAGAAATCAAAAAGCATTCGAGTGAAAACGCTTTCTTTCCAGTTGAAAAAAGAAAAAGAAAAACAGAGCTTACTAAAATACAAGTGACTGGTCAACCAATTTTAATACAAATGTAAATACATGAGAGCATTAACGCCGACATCTTACTGACAAAACAAGCAGTAGAAAAAAATGCACACAGGAAACATGAGAAAATAACATTATGTACACTAGAATTGATTTTCTATTTCACATTATCACATACACAAATAACTCATTAAAATACAAGTGATTAGTGCACGAGTTTAATAAATGCAAATTTAATGCAAATACCAGTTAACAAACATCTTACAGAAAACAATCACTTTTTCCACAAAAGCGGTGAGCGTTTTAATTCAGTACAAACAATAAAAACCTTAAACATTAAAAAAAAAATCTACCCAAAAACTAATTTTCTAGTTCATATTAACAAGAAAAATGCAAATAAGCTAATTAAAATACAGCGACTGATTTAAATAATGCAAATGTAATGCAAATATAAGTTAACAAACATCTTACAAAAAACAACAGAAAGTCACTTTTTCCACACTAAAGTTGGCGTTTTAATTCAATACAAACAATAAAAACCTTAAATAATAAAAAATAACAATTCTAGCCAAAAACTAATTTTCTAGTTCATATTAACATGAGAAATGCAAATCAGCTAATTAAAATACAGCGAATGATTTTAATAAATGCAAATAAGGAGTTACCGCCGCCATCTTGCTAATCAAACACAAACAACACAAAATCACTCGATACTCACTAGCTGAAAGTCAGGAACGTCCAGAAACTTAACGATTCCGTGATGTGTCATAACGAAATCATTAAAAATAGGCCAAAAAACGACTAAAAAACGTAATAAAATCGAGAAAACGCCATTCACAAACCTCACCTTCCCTTTTCGGCAGAACTTCCGGAAGGAGCTATGCTGGGGGCGGGGCTTATGTAAATATGAGAATCTCAGCCAATCAGAATCCATGACGTCACGACGAAACCACGCCTGTTGGCAGTAGAGGGTGGGGCTACACCGCCCTTATGCGTTGGGAGGACGAACTACAATTTAGATTAATTGTAAAACCGCTGCCTATATATTGAATATTAATAAAGGATTTTGGTGGGCAGAGCCGCAAATAATGTCGTCTCGCCTGTTTATTGGTCACTTTGGGCTCCAGGTCCTATAAATTCTGACCCACCTGATTATCCTCCTTACGCGCGAGAGCGGGTGAGACAGACAGCGGTAAGTAACTTGTACAAACGCTTTTTAAGCTTTGCTGCTCTGTACATTTAAACCTGTATTAGGTCATTGTTTTACAATACTTTTCTACTCTATTTCTTATTCTTATTTCATCTGGGCTGTGCTTCTGTTGTGTGCAGAATCCTGTGAATATTCGTTCACATATCGTGCTGCTTGCTACTGCTCTTGAAATGTACTTGTAATTCGAGACTAACAAACATCACTCTTTCAGTTTTGTCCACTAAATCACATTTTTAGTCAATCTGGCGGGATCATGTATGAGTCGAGAGGTAAGTTTCAGTATTTTCTCTGCATCTCGTTTCTCTCCAGCTCTCTCAGTCCGGAGCTCGGCCAGGACTCGCGGCCCCAGTGACAGTGAGGGGAGAGTTTTACTGCCTGCTGCTCTGGTATCGACAACATGTCGGGTAAGAACCGGGGAATGG